TCAGAGGAGGAGGAGGAGGAAACAGCAAAGCAACAATCTTCTGGCGCAATAAGAGAAATGCTGAAAGCATGGGAAACTGTTGCATCATACATTGAGAAGCATCACCCTAATAAGGCAGTGGCTATGGGTGCTACAAATTTATTTAATGATAATGCTGTGTCGCATTTTCACTAAATTTTGAAGCGTTGGCAAAAACAAATGTCTCTAGACAGCTTTCTAGTAAAAAAGAATTAGATATGTATCATAAATAATAAACTAATTATTTCAATTTTTTTTCCTGCAAGTCGAATTCGCATTCCAGATTGATTCATTCCGCACAGAAGAAAAGATGAAGATGATTCACGCTCCTTAACAATGTATATATAATTTTCTTTGAATAAACGTTATACATAAAATTTTTTGAATATTTTTTTTGGCATGGAATGCATTATATTTTACATTAATTTATATGGGAAAATTTGTTTTGCTTAATGAGTGTTTCACATTACGAGTAAGATTCTGGAACGAATTATGCTCACTAAGCAAGGTTCCACTGTACGTGTATATGTACATCACGAACATGTTTGTTGTTCAGAAGTTAAGACCATTTTCAAGCATTACTTCAATACTTTCCAGACTGAAGGCAGCAAACTGCTAGAAGACTAATGTAAATCTGTCAAGTAATGCCATAGGTATTACAGTCAAATTGCAGTGCATCAAACTCCTGTGGTCTGTCAAAATATATTTGTCATAATAAAATTTTGGTATAATGAAAGGGGGTTTAAAAACCAAAAATGTTATAATCAACTTATAAAGACAAATTAAATGTATATTGCCAGGTGAAACCTTGGGAATGTGTTCAGTGAGGCTGGTAGTACTACTACTGCAGAAAATATTGGCTACAAAACTAAGCATATTCTTGTTCTCTAACTTCATTGTCAGATATTGAAAGCAGTATTGTAAACTGGAGAGTTGGGTATATGTACGCATCACATGTTCCTCCCTTACATATGCTTTTTAATCAGAAACTATCTAGAAGATTTATCTGTGTGATGTAAACTTAAACAATGAATAATGAACAGCTAGATTTATGGTAGGCATTCTGGATCATCTTGAACAGTTGCCATATTTCATCACAAGCTATAAGTGCTGCTTCTCACCCTAATTAACCTACACCAGATGGGTTCATTCCACATTGCTCAGAAATTCACTTGCCTCAAGTGAGCAAGCTTTTGCTCACGCATGTCACATGTCTTGTTCATGTTGGCATGTGGTACAATGACTATAGATGGGGTTTGGGTTGGTAATCAGATGTACTGGATTCTTTTAAACAGCACATGTCTACACTTCACACTTCATTATAGCATGCACATGCACACACACAGCCACACAGTGGCCACAGTCATGTCTTCATTAGCTGTTGCTTGGTAGCAACTTCCAACGGCAGACGTTCCCCTGTTCCCCTTCCTCCGGGTTCCAGAACTATCCCTGGCCTTAGCTACCAGCTTCTCACAGCAACAGCTCACAATGACTGAACCTCAGCAGTTCTCTGACTAACTCAGTCTCTCACCAACCAACATGACCTGATTCTCACTTACTGTCCTGCTTATAACATCTTGGCATGGATCACACATAAAACACTGTTCCATTATTGCTGTGCATTTGGTGCTATGAAAACATGCTTGTTTGTGAAGCCATTACTTAACTGTGCCTGTTGTATAGCTGCTGCTTTTGCAGTCATTGCCTAGCAACAGGTCTACATGCCACAGTATGGTTATCTAAAATCTCGTTTGTATACTGCCTTGTCCACGTTTTCATAATCTGTTGTGCTTCCTACTGTGGTCCTCTGGTATCTACATCATTGTTCTTATCAGTCATTTGTCTCTCTTTGATGAACATTAGTAGCATTGTGCACTAATTGCATACTTTGTTGCAATGCCATCTGAAGTATCATGTACATTTCTAAAACTTTCCAGTTTTTCTTTAAGGAAAGCTGTATTTGTTTCTGTCTTCCATACACAAACAATTCTCTTTGCTTTAACTACATCTGTTGATCACTCAGTTCTGGAAGTGTACAGTAACAAACTGCTTGGATGATGATGATGATGATCATCATCATCATCATCACCACCACCACGTAAATGATCAAAATTAATGATCGTTCCATCTGTGGACCTGGCCAAACTTCAGAGTTCCAGTTACTACAGTGTTGCCTGATGGCAGAATTATACATGCCAGAAAGGATGTAAGTATGGTTCATTTTACTTATAGATTGATTTATTGATGTTACTGACATCTGCTGAGTGGGAATGGTTTTGCTTATAGATGTACATTCTCAGGTGGAAGATGATGAATGATATTTTTGTCGTACGAACGATTTGCTGGTGTTCATTGTAGAGACATGTTACTAGACATGTATGCTATTAACCCATAATTTGGTTTTTGCATAAACATACTATCCTGCCATTTGTGGAGTGACTGCAAAGCATCATTGCAGTGCACTACAGCGGATAGATTGAGGCACGATATGATGCCC